TCTCACCTCACCACTCATCCCAGTTCTCACCTCACCACTCATCCCAGTTCTCACCTCACCACTCATCCCAGTTCTCACCTCACCACTAATCCCAGTTCTCACCTCACCAGTCATCCCAGTCTCACCTCACCAGTCATCCCAGTCTCACCTCACCACTAATCCCAGTCTCACCTCACCACTCATCCCAGTCTCACCTCACCAGTCATCCCAGTCTCACCTCACCACTCCACCGCTTAGCACTGCCCTATACGTACTAACCGCTGTGTTTCTGATGTTACTCTACCACTCACACCGTACATTAACACTGTGTTTCGGCATTTACGGCATCGGCGGGTAGGCGGTTCCATGGGTGAAGAAGCTCTCAGTCCAACACTGTGGCTTGTTGTGCTTGAACCCGCTGTCCCTTGTTTGTCTTACATCTCACCTTCTCTCTCCTTCAACACCAATACCCACAAAATATTTAAGAGTATAAAACAAAAACGAATATTGAAAATTATTATGATTGGTACTACTGCGGACTCCCTGTTGGACGACACCTACGACAGCGTGGACCCCGTGTTGGACGTGGCCTTGTGGGGCGACAAGGCCGTCACGCCCTTCGTGGCTCCGGTCCACGTGTGGCCACGGAGCCTGGCCGTGGCCACCCTGGCCCTGGCCGGCGGCGGGAAGATGTTGCTTGTCACCTATATGGTGGACGGCGAGGGTCTGAAGCGCCTGCTGGTGTTGGCCAGTCTTGTCGTGATCCTCCTGACGGTGCTGCTGGTGGCCAGGGTCCTGCGGGGCTGTGGCCGTGACCGTGGCCGTGACCGTGGCCGTGACCGGGGCCGTGACCGTGGCAGCCGTGACGAGAGCTGGGAAGACATGACGAAGAGGAAGACAAAGAGGAGGAGAAGAACGGTGGCGGTAAAGACGACGGCCATCAGCCGTGTCTTCTCCGGAAGAGGCAAGAGGTGGAGGAGGAAGAGGAGACAGGGAGGAGCTTGTGCCAGCACCGGATGGTGCCTTGTCTCCTGGCTCCGTCTCCTCCCCTCCCGTGTCTCCTCTACCCTCACCTCACTCACCTCCCTTCTCCTCTTTCTCGAGTCCTTCCTCAGTTCAGTAGCAACCCAGCTGCTGTTGATCACTTCCGCTTGCAACAATGTCTCCGCGGCGCTGTCAACTGTGTTGACAGCGGCAGCCACTCTCTCCTCCACTCTTGGCCGCGAGTTCTCCTCCTACACGCAACAATCCTTCACTCGCGTGTGAAGGTCGCGGGCCTTGACCAGCGACTCCAGGCACTTGACCAGCGACTCCAGGCACTTGACCAGCGACTCCAGGCACTTGACCAGCGACTCCAGGCACTTGACCAGCGACTCCAGGCACTTGACCAGCGACTCCAGGCACTTGACCAGCGACTCCAGGCACTTGACCAGCGACTCCAGGCACTTGACCAGCGACTCCAGGCACTTGACCAGCGACTCCAGGCACTTGACCAGCGACTCCAGGCACTTGACCAGCGACTCCAGGCACTTGACCAGCGACTCCAGGCACTTGACCAGCGACTCCAGGCACTTGACCAGCGACTCCAGGCACTTGACCAGCGACTCCAGGCTTGACCAGCGACACACCTGCAAGGCTGGTCAACCACACCTGATCACTCCCGCGGCCCTACCACTGGTAGGGGCCGATGGAGTCACTCCCGCGGCCCTACCACCGGTAGGGGCTGGGGGAGTGGCAGGTGTGGTTGGCCAGCCTGGCAGGTGTGTCGCTGGTCAAGGAGTCAACAATGTACATCCGGTATTAATGACTATTATTTCTTTCTTTGGTATATTGGAGTATACCAATACTCCAGGATTGGTCTTACATATGTGGTATACAAGGTTCTGAATGATTCCTTACACAGGTTCCTGAAGGCAGTTCTGATGTTAGCCAGCCTCGCATAGCCTGCAGATGTTATTATTTTTACGTGGGCTTCAGGAGACAGGTTTTCAACCCCTAGATCATTCTCTGTGTCCCTTTCATGAAGGACTTCATCTCCCATTCTGTATCCTGTGTCTGGCCTCCTGTTCCCACTGCCTAGTCTCATTACCTTTCATTTACTCGGGTTGAACTTTAGTTGCCATTTGTTGGACCATTCATTCAGTCTGTCTAGGTCATCTTGTAGCCATATTTTCGGTATAAAAAGTCGTAATTTAAAAATGAAACTAGGTGCAGAGAGTCAGAATTCGGCTCAAAAATCACGCTCAGGAGTCAAATTTCCGACATTTCAAATTTTTATACCGAAAATAACGCCCTTCGTTATATATATAATGAAAAATAGGGGGGGGGGGGAACATGTCAGAAAAAAAAGCAAAAATACAATTTGGTCAACAAACAACATTGTTTAAAATAGTAGACATGGGTTGACCTTTTGGGGGTGAGGTAGGTTACATGGAGTTAATTAGGTAGTACTTTGTTTTTTAACTTAAACTGGTTGAGAGAGGTACAGTCTTTAACATGGTTGGGAAGGTCATTCCACATTCTGGGTCCCTTGATTTATAAAGCATTTCTAGTTTGATTAAGTCGTACTCTTGGAATATCAAATAGGTATTTGTTTCTGGTGTGGTGTTCATGGGTTCTGTTACAACCTTCTAGGAAGCGTTTAAGGTCAGGATTGACATTACAGTTCAGCGTTTTTTATATATAAAATACACACGAGGGGACGTGCAGTGACTTAATGTCTAACATATTCAGAGATTTGAGTAGGGGTACCGAGTGATGTCTGGGGCCAGAGTTGGATATTGTTCTAATAGCAGCTTTGTGTTGAGTAATTAGAGGACGTAAATGATTTTGGGTAGTAGAACCCCAAGCACAAATACCATAGTTGAGATAAAGATAGATGAGAGAGTAATAGAGAGTCACCAGGGCAGGGCGAGGTACATAATATCTGATCTTAGAAAGAATGCCAACAGTTTTTGAAACTTTTTTTGATATATTTAGAATGTGTCCCTGGAAATTCAGCTTGTGGTCAATGAGTACGCCAAGGAATTTGCCATCTATTTTGTTACAAATTTGGGTATTGTTAATTCTGAGATTTATTTGATTTGAGGCTTTATTGCCAAACAAAATATAGAAAGTTTTGTTAATATTGAGGGTGAGTTTGTTGGCAGTTAGCCAAAGATGGACTTTATTTAGCTCAGTATTCACTATGACATTTAGAGCAAGGGGGTCAGGACTGGAGTAAATGAAGGTTGTGTCGTCAGCAAATAGAATTGGTTTGAGGTGTCGGGAGGCATTTGGAAGGTCATTAATGTAGATGAGAAAGAGGAGAGGGCCAAGTATGCTGCCCTGAGGAACACCAATGTGGATGGGTAGGGTGGGAGAAATTAAATTATTCACAGAAACATACTGGAGCCTGTCAGTAAGGTAAGACTGAAGGTATTGCAGGGAGTGTCCTCTGACTCCATAATGATGTAATTTAAGAAGAAGGTTTAGGTGGTTGACAGTGTTAAAGCCTTACGCAGGTCCACAAATAACCCAACAGGGAACTCATTTTTATCAATAGCTTCATGTATCAAGTTAATCATACTAAAAAGTGCATCGTTAGTGCTTTTTTGGGTCTGAAGCCATATTGACAAGAGCTAAGTATATTGTGTTTGGCTAGATAAGAGTAAAGCTGCTTGTAGATTAGTTTTTCAAATATTTTTGACAAGTTTGGCAGGATTGATATAGGTCTGAAGTTGTTGACATCAGTGAGATCACCACATGTGTGGACAGGGGTTACTCTCGCTTTTTTTTAGAATATCTGGAAAGGTTTGGAGTTCAAGTGACTTGTTGAAGAGCAAAGCAATAGCAGGGGCTAAAGATCTGGAGGCCTTTTTGTAAATTAAAGTTGGTATCTCCTCAAGGGCACTAGACTTGGTTTTAAGGGAAAGGATTATCTCATTAACGTCAGTGGAATTAGTAGGCTTTAGGTACAGAGACTAGTTACCTGTATAGTAACCTGTATGGATAGTTACCTGTAAGATAGTCCTTAACATCAGTACTGTAAGATGGAATATCATTTGCAAGGGATGACCCAATAGAAGAGAAGAACCTATTGAACTCAATAACAGTATCAGAGGCTGTAAACTGACCATCGTTATTGGACAAGGAGTATTGGTTTGTTATTTAAAATCTTCTCTGATCCCAATATTTGTGAAATTGTGTTCCATGTTTTCTTAATGTTGCCCTTTGTTTGGGTAAATTTATCTTCGTAGTATTTAGTTTCAAGTGGTGTCTTGTGTGAAACGTAGGTCTCGGTATTCGAACCTGAAATTCACGATTGTGAGTCGAGAGCGAACCCAATTGTACTACTGAGTCCTATTAATGACTACTCCTGGCCTGACGGTAACCATGTATGGGTAACTGTCCTCTTAGATAGGGATATTAGATGGTTAAAGAGAAGGCAAGATAATGATGAGATTGCTAGATAATGACTAGATAACTAGATAATAGATTGATAACTAGATTTAGATAACTAATATCTATAACTAATAGATAACAATACCTTTAGATAATAGATGGCTATTAGATTAGATTAGATGGCTTATGGCTAGTTTTTGATCTACCCTCTGTAATCTCTCATATAGCAGCGTGTTGGTGTGTATAACTAAGCTTGTTAAAAACAAATGTAGATTCAGGTAGTTTAGTTTAGTTTATTTATTATGCGCCCTATACCCATCCTGTGGGTGGTAGTAAGGAAAACACGGACTGACAGATCACTAAGGCGTGCATTATGTAATGCTACGCATTAATGGAAAAGCTATACCAAATTAGAAGGAAACTTTATTCGTAACAACTTAATGATTTTTATTTTCAATGCCGACAGGTTTATTCAACTTTTTGTATATATTTTTAGTTAATATTCCATATAAATTTTCCAACTGAAATCTGCGTAAATCGAATAGTTCGGCCTCTAAATAGAATTTATTGATTTAAATAATACCAAAATAGATTTATATGATAGAAAATAAGAAGTAAGGATAGAGATAGGAGGAGATTAAGTTAGTTGGTGTGGAGAGGCCCAGCAGCAGACGACGCCACCAGCTGAGTCGCGATGACAACAAACATGGCGGGCGAGGTGGACCCGTCGTGCAACCCTGTGGACCTGATGGGCCAGGTTAGTCTCCTCTCCTGCCCTCTCCCTCTCTCCCTGCTGTGCCTCTCACCACCTGATGGGCCAGGTTAGTCTCCTGCCCCTCTCCTCTACCACTCACCACCTGATGGGCCAGGTTAGTCTCTCCTGCCCTCTCCCTCTCTCCCTGCTGTGCCTCTCACCACCTGATGGGCCAGGTTAGTCTCCTGCCCCTCTCCTCTACCACTCACCACCTGATGGGCCAGGTTAGTCTCCTACCCCTCTCCTCTACCACTCACCACCTGATGGGCCAGGTTAGTCTCCTACCCCTCTCCTCTACCTCTCACCACCTGATGGGCCAGGTTAGTCTCCTACCCTCTCCTCTACCACTCACCACCTGATGGGCCAGGTTAGTCTCCTCTCCTGCCCTCTCCCTCTCTCCCTGCTGTCCCTCTCACCACCTGATGGGCCAGGTTAGTCTCCTGCCCTCTCCTCTACCACTCACTACCTGATGGGCCAGGTTAGTCTCCTACCCCTCTCCTCTACCACTCACCACCTGATGGGCCAGGTTAGTCTCCTGCCCCTCTCCTCTACCACTCACCACCTGATGGGCCAGGTTAGTCTCCTGCCCCTCTCCTCTACCACTCACCACCTGATGGGCCAGGTTAGTCTCCTACCCCTCTCCTCTACCTCTCACCACCTGATGGGCCAGGTTAGTCTGCCCTCTCCCTCTCTCCTGCTGTCCCTCTCACCACCTGATGGGCCAGGTTAGTCTCCTGCCCTCTCCTCTACCACTCACTACCTGATGGGCCAGGTTAGTCTCCTACCCCTCTCCTATACCACTCACCACCTGATGGGCCAGGTTAGTCTCCTGCCCCTCTCCTATACCACTCACCACCTGATGGGCCAGGTTAGTCTCCTGCCCTCTCCTCTACTTCTCACCACCTGATGGGCCAGGTTAGTCTCCTGCCCTCTCCTCTACCACTCACCACCTGATGGGCCAGGTTAGTCTCCTACCCCTCTCCTCTACCACTCACCACCTGATGGGCCAGGTTAGTCTCCTGCCCCTCTCCTCTACCTCTCACCACCTGATGGGCCAGGTTAGTCTCCTGCCCCTCTCCTCTACCACTCACCACCTGATGGGCCAGGTTAGTCTCCTACCCCTCTCCTCTACCACTCACCACCTGATGGGCCAGGTTAGTCTCCTGCCCTCTCCTCTACCACTCACCACCTGATGGGCCAGGTTAGTCTCCTACCCCTCTCCTCTACCTCTCACCACCTGATGGGCCAGGTTAGTCTCCTACCCCTCTCCTCTACCTCTCACCACCTGATGGGCCAGGTTAGTCTCCTACCCTCTCCTCTACCTCTCACCACCTGATGGGCCAGGTTAGTCTCCTGCCCCTCTCCTCTACCACTCACTACCTGATGGGCCAGGTTAGTCTCCTACCCTCTCCTCTACCTCTCACCACCTGATGGGCCAGGTTAGTCTCCTACCCTCTCCTCTACCACTCACACCTGATGGGCCAGGTTAGTCTCCTACCCTCTCCTCTACCACTCACCACCTGATGGGCCAGGTTAGTCTCCTACCCTCTCCTCTACCTCTCACCACCTGATGGGCCAGGTTAGTCTCCTACCCCTCTCCTCTACCACTCACCACCTGATGGGCCAGGTTAGTCTCCTACCCTCTCCTCTACCACTCACCACCTGATGGGCCAGGTTAGTCTCCTACCCTCTCCTCTACCTCTCACCACCTGATGGGCCAGGTTAGTCTCCTACCCTCTCCTCTACCTCTCACCACCTGATGGGCCAGGTTAGTCTCCTGCCCCTCTCCTCTACCACTCACCACCTGATGGGCCAGGTTAGTCTCCTACCCTCTCCTCTACCTCTCACCACCTGATGGGCCAGGTTAGTCTCCTACCCCTCTCCTCTACCTCTCACCACCTGATGGGCCAGGTTAGTCTCCTACCCCTCTCCTCTACAACTCACCACCTGATGGGCCAGGTTAGTCTCCTGCCCCTCTCCTCTACCACTCACCACCTGATGGGCCAGGTTAGTCTCCTACCCCTCTCCTCTACAACTCACCACCTGATGGGCCAGGTTAGTCTCCTACCCCTCTCCTCTACAACTCACCACCTGATGGGCCAGGTTAGTCTCCTACCCTCTCCTCTACCTCTCACCACCTGATGGGCCAGGTTAGTCTCCTACCCTCTCCTCTACCTCTCACTACCTGATGGGCCAGGTTAGTCTCCTACCCCTCTCCTCTACCACTCACCACCTGATGGGCCAGGTTAGTCTCCTACCCCTCTCCTCTACCACTCACCACCTGATGGGCCAGGTTAGTCTCCTACCCCTCTCCTCTACCTCTCACCACCTGATGGGCCAGGTTAGTCTCCTACCCTCTCCTCTACCTCTCACCACCTGATGGGCCAGGTTAGTCTCCTACCCTCTCCTCTACCTCTCACCACCTGATGGGCCAGGTTAGTCTCCTACCCCTCTCCTCTACCACTCACCACCTGATGGGCCAGGTTAGTCTCCTACCCCTCTCCTCTACCTCTCACCACCTGATGGGCCAGGTTAGTCTCCTACCCCTCTCCTCTACCTCTCACCACCTGATGGGCCAGGTTAGTCTCCTACCCCTCTCCTCTACCACTCACCACCTGATGGGCCAGGTTAGTCTCCTACCCCTCTCCTCTACCTCTCACCACCTGATGGGCCAGGTTAGTCTCCTACCCCTCTCCTCTACCACTCACCACCTGATGGGCCAGGTTAGTCTCCTACCCCTCTCCTCTACCTCTCACCACGTGATGGGCCAGGTTAGTCTCCTACCCCTCTCCTCTACCACTGACCACCTGATGGGTGGTGAGAGGAGACGCTAAGCCCCGAAATCATCTCGATAACCTCAAATAACCTCAAGATAACCTCAAGATTAACTACCTTGCACTAGCAACCGCAAGATGTAAAGTAGTTACTGGAATGTAACATGTCAATGATCACTGGCACAATGTAAACATACTTGGCATCTTGCTACTTCAATGGGAGCCATTGCTGCGTTATTGTTCTAAGTGTGTGATCTGGGGTATCACACACTTCGAACTGTTGTTGTTGTCCTTTGATTTTACTCTGGTGTCGCCTTCCTTGGTTGTCGGCTTGCATTACCCCACTGCCTAACCAGTTATGCAGTCGAGTCGAATGTTAATGTGTGGATGTTCTCGTTCAGTGTGCGGGTGGTAGGAAAGTGGAATGTTTTAAGGGAAGAGGTTGTTGAAGCCAATTCCATTCACAACTTTCAAATAAATTACTGTACGATTGGTAATTATTGCACCTGATATACAAAAATATTTTTTAATTACCTAAGTATAGGTAATCATGGAAACGATTTTCGGTGAACGAAAATCATGGAAACACAGTCGTTCACTTATGTGGACCCCACTGGCTGGTGTTTGGTTCATATGGTCCACTTGTGTGATCCAACTTGTCACATGAAAGAAATATTAATTGTAACCTGTACTCACTTAGTTGTGCACACCTGGTTGTGTTTGCGAGGGTTGAGCTCTGGCTCTTTGGTCCCGCCAAAGGGCTGTGATAGAATTAGAAAGTTTTCCACTAGTCTGTGAACTCTGTCCCAACATCATCAGCTTGTGGACCACTTGTGGACCACATGTGTGGTCCACAAGTGGTCCACATGTGTGGTCTACTTGTGTGTTCCAACTTGTCATATTGTGATGGGGGGGGGGGGGAAATAGCTATCTTTTGTCCATTATCCCGCCCTTAGTTAACTATTCTAGAGCTCCCTCAGAGTCACCACTGCAAGCTCTCCAGTTCAACACCTTGTCACCTAGGTATTTGATTACCTAGGTACTACACCAACAAGGCATTGTACTTGGTCAATTACCCGCAACTCTTAGAGAACTCTAGAACACTTCACTGCCACGAACGTATAAGGGAAACGAAAGGAAGAGATGAATAATGAAGTAATGAGTGAGGGCTTGGGGGAAGGAATAGGTGGGAGGGGTAAGGGGTGTCATCAGGTGAAAGGGAAAGTGGGAGAGAGGCGGAGGGAGATGAGAGGGAGTAGGAAATAGTGGTAGAGGTAGAAGGGTAGATAAGTAGAAGTGCTGCCACCATCCATTCTAGTTCATTACATACATCACAAGGAATGGAACTTGTCTGTACTTTAAACTGTTAACAACTGTCATTATTAGCATGTTCCATCTGTATCATATTCTGGTTCCATGTACCAACTCTAACCATGTACAGTACTCGTATACAATAAGTAAGCTCAGAGGTTCTCTCGCCTCAACTCACAAAGCTCTAGGGAACAAAATTAAAGACAATTTAAACAAATAAGTTAAACAAATATATATTTAGCCAATGATAAGTATCAATTCAAGCACTCGAACTGAAGGTTCACTCTGTCAGGATTACTATACAACGTGAGTCATTACACAAAATGTTGAGACCATTACAGCTGTCTGCCCCAAGATAATCACACCACTCTTTTAGTTGGGAAACGCAACAAGTCACCTTAACGTTCACTCGCCCAGTGTCTGACTACGTTGAATAGAGAGGCGGGGGAAAGGGTCTACAGTTGACAAGGCAGTCCCCCCCCCTCCCCCCCCGGCCAGTCGACAGCCTGTCTCGATTGCTGTCTGCAGTCCCCTGCTCTGCTCCTCCTGTGCTGTGCTCTATCCTCTCGAATCTACAGTTCCCTGGGTATTTATTGGGAACATAGTAGCTAACTCCGCCCACAAGTAGATAACCCCAGGCTCTCTACCAAGCCACACCTTAAACGGCGGCTTGTTTGAAAGACACACCCGGCTACCAGGCTACAATTATCAGCTTAGCAGATGCCAGGTCAAATCCCACGTCCTGACCACGGGTCAGTTTGTCGTCATTAACACTTCTAGGTGTGACTTTTTTAATGGCTACAGGCCGACAGACTGTCGCCTCTCAAAATCTTGTCCAACTGACTCAAGTTCTAAGTAAAATACTATATAACTCATCTAAACACCTTTATGGTGTTAAATTATGAAGGAATTATTAATTGTAACCTGTGATGGAACGGGAAAGTTTTCTACCAGTTTGTGAACTCTGTCCCGACATCGTAAGCAAATCCGCACATTCCCAGCTTCGGTGAACCATTTGCAGGCGATGAGTCACAATAACGTGGCTGAAGTATGTTGACCAGACCACACACTAGAAATTGAAGGGACGACGACGTTTCGGTCCGTCCTGGACCATTCTCAAGTCGATTGTTGATTGGACCATTATCAATCGACTTGAGAATGGTCCAGGACGGACCGAAACGTCGTCGTCCCTTCAATTTCTAGTGTGTGGTCTGGTCAAGGTGATCCATTGTTCGTTGAACCGGGCAAGTAAATCCAGCCTGAAAATTGTGCGACCTAGCCGGAGATTCGTTGAATCAGGGTATGTTGAATCGAGTTTGTACTAAACTAGAAAATGGCAGTGGCTCGTGAAATTGACGTACTGTACCGTTTTCTGTTTTGGGTCCTCTGGTAGGATAGGATAAGGGCTCTTCAGTACGACAGTTTCTTGACATTGGGAAATCTTGGGAGGACGGGCTGGAAAAAAGATGTGCCATATCTGATAATATCCAAAATTAGCATTTTACATAGCCCTAACCATATCATATTGTGGAGCTCCATTGCATCATACTAACATGCCTACAGTTACATAATCATTTGGAAGGTTTAAGATACCAAGATATTATTTGAAGAACATATGACCCCTTCCTAATTACTTGAATGATGGGGTTCTGGGAGTTGTTCTACTCCCCAAGCCCTGCCTGAGGCCAGGCTTCACTTGTTATAACTCATGATATCATGATGTAGGTCATGGCTGCGGGCAGCGATAAACTCCAGTGGCATTACTATGTACTGTATAGCATACCAATACAATACTTAAAAAGATTTTTGAGAATATTATAGAGCCATAGCTATTTGATAAACAATATCCTCTTAAGCTGTTAAGATTGATAAGAATAAAATGGAGATCAGCTACTAATTTAATTTGAATATCAATGTGTTGTTATGCCTCTTAATCTGTCAATATTCAGTTTTATTCTGGAGTGATATTATTAAAGTACAGAAACTACGAGCCATTTATTAGGAATAGTGACAAGGTAAACCCAATAATAATTGATACAGTACTACACACAGAGATCACACGAACATGATGCATCAAATGAACAAATCCACAAGGACCGTGACGAGAATTCGAACCTGCGTCCGGGAGCATCCCAGACACTGCCTTAATCGACTGAGCTACGAAAGGGTTAAAAGAGTTGAAACCGAAGTTCTACTGAACTTACTGGATCCCGTAGCCTCTCCACAAATCCACAAGGGTCAGGGCCCTTGTGGATTTGTTCAATTGATACAGTATTTTTATTTATAATTAGTGCTCCTGAACATTCAAAAAAATGCCGTGCTAAATATTTTGAATAATAGATTTTCAAGAGCACAATTTTTTTTTTATTAATTTTCAACCTTTCTTTTACCTGGTTTGTTGCAGTTTATTGTCCCTTATTAGTTTCTTCGGTAGGAACAGTGTATTAATTGTGCTTGCATCTTATATGTTGAAAAGTAATTATTTGTTAGTTTTAGCTACTAATATTACTGTTTCATCAAACTAGGATGCGTGCAATCCAAGTGGAATGTATGGTGTTGAGCGGGAAACTGATGCCGATGAAGCCACGGGAAGTATTCAGAACTCGGAGCCTACCACCCGCAACACAAATGAATCCGATTTCTCAACTTTTGACATTGTTAAAGCAACTCAGGTAAGTTCTTAAAGGTTATAAATTAAATAGGATTTGAAGTTATCTTGAAGCCAAAAACATGGTGGCTTCCTGTTAAATATCTGCAAGGTTTGCCGTGTTGATCAATCTTCAAATGTTGGATTGGTTAACATAGACCGGGTAAGATTGGAGAGTAAGTACCAAAACAAAGGTTTGTAGAAGTTAGTAACCCAATCCAAACATGATAAGAAAGGCTGTAAGGAAGGATTGCAATATTTTACAAAATATATCGCTAATAAAATAAAAAATCTCTCCTTTTCCCTAACTCATTTTGAGTCCAAGTGGGAACACATATCATGTGATCGGCACAATTATTTTGACTTCATGGGACTTGAACAATCCAATAACGTGCGTGCATTACATTGATTAAAAAGTCATACAAAATGGGACATAATACTACAGTAAATTGATCAATTCACCAGATCGACTACTGAACTCAGTCACGTTGAGAAAACTTGGGTAATCCTCACCTCGGGAGGAGTCCACCACCTCCTCACTGGTGGGAGGTGGTGGGCACCACCTAAGGTAAGGTGGACCCCACCTAAGGTGAGGTGGACACCCCCTCCTGCCACCCAACGAAGTTGATCCCCACCCCCCCTGCCACCCAGTGAGGTGAACCCCCCTGCCACCCAGCGAGGTGAACCCCCCTGCCACCCAGCGAGGTGGACCCCCCTGCCACCCAGCGAGGTGGACCCCCCTGCCACCCAGCGAGGTGGACCCCCCTGCCACCCAGCGAGGTGGACCCCCCTGCCACCCAGCGAGGTGGACCCCCCTGCCACCCAGCGAGGTGGACCCCCCTGCCACCCAGCGAGGTGGACCCCCCTGCCACCCAGCGAGGTGGACCCCCCCTGCCACCCAGCGAGGTGGAACCCCCTGCCACCCAGCGAGGTGGACCCCCCCCTGCCACCCAGCGAGGTGGAACCCCCTGCCACCCAGTGAGGTGGACCCCCCTGCCACCCAGTGAGGTGGACCCCCCTGCCACCTAGCGAGGTGGACCCCCCCCCCTGCCACCCAGTGAGGTGGACCCCCCTGCCACCCAGCGAGGTGGAACCCCCCTGCCACCCAGCGAGCTGGACCCCCCCTTGCCACCACACACCGTATTTGGGCAAGCGCTCATCTCTGAGCACGATGGTGACACGGACAGTCTGCCTTCAGGGGAAACACGCGGGAAATCTTCTATTCACCTCAACATAAACGTTCTCTAATACCCAATGTAACTTACAGTACTGTACTTGCAAACACTGACAAAGAATCATAAATATTAACATTAACCAAAACAAAGAAAGTTCTATTTGATCTAAAACAAAACATTTGGGTAAATAACAATACACTTTACATACTGTACTTGGCATTGCAAGGAGTGATGACATTTCGAGCCATGGGGAGCCGATCGGCCGAGCGGACAGCACGCTGGACTTGTGATCCTGTGGTCCCGGGTTCGATCCCGAGCGCCGGCGAGAAACAACGGGCAGAGTTTCTTTCACCCTATGCCCCTGTTACCTAGCAGTAAAATAGGTACCTGGGTGTTAGTCAGCTGTCACGGGCTGCTTCCTGGGGGTGGAGGCCTGGTCGAGGACCGGGCCGCGGGGACACTAAAAAGCCCCTAAATCATCTCAAGATAACTCAAGATAACTATCCTGAACCCTTATCCCATCAGTTGAGGATAGACTAAAACATTGTAGCTTTCCATTATTTTCTTATGCTGGAGTTAGTTTACTAATTTTCAGCCATTCTATTGTGACTTATTCTCTGTATTTGTAGATGTGTTGCATGCTTGTGATCAAATGAACTGTTTTGTTTTGGTTTATGGAATCTTTCATGAGATAGAGAGAAGTTCAATTGATGCTTGTGGTATCCTATAATATTATGAGCTATTTATTTACTGGGTTGAGGTTCTGGGATAATTGAGAGTAAAAATAAACTTTTTTTGTTCATTTGAAATAAGAAGTTGAGGCTCTGAATGACTTAAATTTTTAATGCTGTACATTAATTTGACATAGCCTATGGAACTGACTAAAAATGACGAGAAGATTGGAGATGGGAGTACTTGTATTTTTACAATCTGTTCCAGCTCTCTGCACAGGGCTAGGAGCAACTGATTTTGCCCTTAGGCTACTATCTCTCTAGTGGCCTCGTCCACTAGAGAGCCGGCAGCTTGTCAAGAGTCTCCCTATTTGTCCTGATGATTTTATCGACCTGGAATTTGTAATTGAGCAGTGTTCTGTCATTTAGGGCTTCAGCAGGCAGGCAGTTAAATGGGTTTATAACCCTATGGGTTAAAAACATGTGTTTTCTGTCCTACATTGTGGCTTGTTGAGCTTAAAATCATTACATCTGACCTTTGTAAAAAGTTATCCAGATCAAATCCTCCAAATTGTTAAGTATTTTAAAAATTTCGATGAGATCTTCTCTGTCATGTCTGGTTTGCAGTGTTTTGGCCCTGAGGTCCTCGACTATTCCTGCTATGAGAGTCAACTAAGCTCAGGAATGAATTGTCACCTGGTGTTGAACCTTCTCCAAAACAGATATGTCTTTCTGAAGATAAAGTTTCCAGGCTTGGATACAATAATTCAAGTGGAGGTGCACTAGTGATTTATATACAGTAGTTAAATAACTACTGTAATATGAATGGAATGCATTGGTGAAAGGTGATGTAAGCAGCGAAGTATATCGATTATGGGACCTCGGCAAACGTACGTTCCTCACCAGCAGTATGTAATCAAGCCTTCTGATCAGCCATGGTTTGGCTATCGATGCTGGGTAGTTGTTACGGCAGAAAATAATGCCCGGAGGAGATTTAAATTGCATCCTTCTGCTCACAGAAATATTCATAGATAAGCATATCATCAAATGAAAGCAGTTCAAAAGTGGACTGCCTCCACATGGTAATAGGAAACAAGAAGAGTTGGACCTAAAGTCTTTTGGTCTTTGGTTAACGATCTGCAGGGATATTCATCTGTGGACACAATCCCACCACAAAAACTGGGCAGATGGAACTGTTGCAGCCAGGGGAAAAGATTAACCTACTGGCAAAACATTTTGCTTCAATGATGCCTTGATCCAGAATGACAACCTCCGCAGCTTGCTCCAATCATTATGGCTAAGTTGTCTGAATTACTTGTTCAATAGGGTGAAGTTCATCATCATAAACCTTGCGCTGCTCTACCAGCTTTGCCTAGCTTGAGGAATTTTTCCCTCTCTGTGGATGAAGACAAGTGTAGCTCCAGTCTACAAAAGATGAATCATTCAGTAGTTTGTAACTACAGACCAATGTCATTGCTTTCAGTTATTGGAAAAGTTCTTGAGACTTTAAGCTGTCGGTAAATGACAGCCTTTTTTTTTTTACCTTTATCGGCTACTATGTGGTCGACAATTTAGTTTTAGGAAAGGTCGTTCTACTACTGACCTTCTGGTAAACCCCTCCACTAAGTGGCATCAGTCACTTCATCAAGTGGATGCCTTCATTCTGAGGCATCAGACTCATCAAGTGAATGAGTCAAAGATCAGCTGTGTTGTTGCACTGGACTTTGCAGGAGTCAAGCACTTGGTGTCTGCATCTTTGGAATCTTGAAGCTAGTTTGAATCTTCAATGACCATGAAGAGCCACATGCTTAATGTAGCAGGTAAGGCAGCCAAGACTCTTGCAGCTCTCTGGTACATCTCATACCTTCTTGACAGCAGGAATTGCAAAACTTTATGCAAGGCTCGGGTTCGTACCTTACCTTGAGTTTGCACCTCTCTTGGATGGCCTATCTCTCGCTCTCTCTCTCATCAGAATTCTGGACAACGTGGAGAACCATACGAGAAGACTGTCTCTAGTCTTGACCCGTTGTGGTTGGACTGGTCAGCACATGAGAAGTCTGCAAACATTTTGGCTGACTTACTGTTATGTATATAGCAAATGTTCTCAGGGTTCCCCCATTTGGCCCAACTTTGTGGACAGCCAGAAGGTTGGCAATCATAACAGAATGCTCTTATAAATCAACAGTCTTGCTGGTAATAACTTGAGAACTTCACTCTGCCAGTGATCATTTAGGTCTTGGCTAACTCGCATTTGGAACGTTCGCTCAAACTGTAGATACATGTGAAATCATGTCACCTGACCATATGAAGGCTTTGGCACACAGCTGGTGCCTGGTTCATCCTGTACTCTACTTGGTTACTTGCATTAAATTTTGCTGTATTTTTAATGAATACCAATAATTAACTCGTCAAGCAAGTGCGTTTCTAGGAAAAGGCTTCAGATGAGCTGGTGTAGGATAAGTTCTCAGCTTGGTTTCATTAGTAACATCAGCACCATTCTTAATGAACTCTATTTTGTTATTTTATTTTTTTCGGGGGAGCTTCCTGATGGCTCCCTGAAGCTGCCTTGCTGAGATTGCTTCAAGCCAAAGAGTCATATCAGTCATGGAAGTTGTGTTTGGCTTGCTGGGGACCAGAGCCAGAACTCCCCCTACCCTCTCCCCACATCAAGATGCAGGGAGCAGGTAACACTTAACCCCCCCACCAGAAAACGCCTCTAGAGAGGCTTTTTTAGAGGAAGGATTTTCAACGAATCTTTATGGACAGCTGGATACAGGTGTTTGAGAGCCAGAGGCGCGTGTGCCACAAATGGTTGCTCACGCAGTACTAACCCAGCCAGCAGCCCTTGTCTTTCATATTCGTTATAGCAAAAGTTTCGTTCAGTGTTTGTTGGGTAGGCTGCTCCATTATGACAATCTTTCTTTGTTTCAAATGTGTTCCATTTGTTTTGTATTTGTCACTTACGCACCTCCAAAGGATACCTGATCAACCAGGCTGTGACTCGTACGTCAGGCTGCGAGCAGCCGCGTCCAACAGCCTGGTTGATCAGTCCGGCAACCAGGAGGCCTGGTCGACGACCGGGCCGCGGGGACGCTAAGCCCCGGAAGCACCTCAAGGTAACCTCAAGGTACGTTTCAATAATGGAGCAGCTTACCCGACAAACACTGAACGAACCTTTA